AGGGCTTTATTGAATCTTATACAAAGATTAACTACTCACAGCTCTACTCTAGCCGAATACTACTACTAAAGACTTCTACAACGAACTAACAGAATAATCTAAAGTTGCATGCTTTTATACTTTTCGTAGCATTCGCAGCTACATTCCACATGGCAATCTTTTACCTTATTTTACACATAGTTAAATTATTCTTAGTAAGACTATTCTACTGCGGACCATCATTAATCCAATATGGATACGACTACAGTACTTAAGTAGACATTATTCACACCAGCCAAAGTACAATGAATTAACCATATCCTAATATATGATTTACAGTTCTATTTTTACCTATAGCCTTATTAGTAACTCAACAGCTTACTGTATATAGTCATCTGTACTCTAGCATTGAGTCTCTACCACTACATTCTATAGTTATAGCTACCAAATATCTCCTAGGATAAATATCTACCGTACATTATACTTAACATGGCTAACAGTCTACAATCACAATACTAGTTACATTACAAAGATGTTAGTTAACGTTGTAGCTTTTCTTTTTCATCAGCCATCTTTTCGTTGATTCCAATACAAATTTTATGGCACACTGGCCGGACTTGGTAATCTATTCATAATGGGGTAAGATCGCGCATAAAATAGTACAAGTCATATTAATAGTAGATATCAATAACGAGCTTAAGGTTAAGATAGACGTAGATTCTGTATCAGTGTTAAATCGCCTAACCTTAAAGAATAGGTAATAACGAGCCTTAAGTTTCAGAGCAAACGTTATTGTTGATTCAACTCGCTCTGTCTTTCCGCCTAATAAAACAGTCGAAAACATCTAAAAAGATAAACAGGATAATTTACTCTTTCACTCTCTACAACAAAAATTTCATAAAATTGCATACAGTACCGCAAGTTATACCAGAATAGTTATCATACTATTAATATTACAGTGCGGTAGAATATATCACCGTTTCATCATCAGCTACGGCCTACTAACATAGAGCAAAGTTATTTTCGTATCCAATATATTGATAAAGTATAAATGAACTTTAGTACTATCTATACAAGCATTTTTATGCATACTATAAACTTAAAGATTAGTAAATGTGTCCGTAACGTTAATTTATGATAATAAATATTCTGCAAAAACTAAAAAACTGCTTTGACCTTTAAAAACAAAATTTTACTTTTACTAAAACAGAAGTTGTCTTTACTTCAACATTTCATTATGGATATTACGTAAAACGTAATTCTATATTATATTTAAATATTTCTCCTTCATACTGAAGCCAAATCATTTGAAATCAATATACATTTTGCACAATCAATTCGGATTGATTAAACAGAATTGGTATAGATAGAATCAGATTAAGTTAAAGTAATTTAAGTACCGTATGAATAGCAAGCTGTACTAGCTTGAACCCACGCCGATTTCTCTTTCATATTCAAAATCGAATCATTGCAAATCAGTTAGCGTTTATAACTATCAAATCGCCTTGGACCATATATACTATATAATTGGTATAAATAGAATCAGTTGAAAATTATGGTAAATGGAGATAGGACGGACCAGCTAGCTGCAGTTTCATAAATCCTTCTCTTTCATATTTGAATTAAATTATTGGAAATCGCCTAACATTTTAACAATCCAACCACGTATGATTATACTTAAATAGGTATGGTATAGACAGAATCGATTTAAATTAAAGGCACATTTAGGTAGGCGAGAGTAGCAATCTGTGGTTAGTATAAAATTTATAAATCAGTTTAAATTGAGACAAATCAAAGTACGAATAGAATAGATTAGAAAGAAGTCCTTGCAGGCAAGCATAGACTGTATTTTTAAGCAAGAGCATAGTAAAAGGCTTTTTGTGATGTTCTATAATTTCGTAGGCAGCCGAGAGTGTAGTATCAGCTATACTGTATTGTATATTACGTTAATAAGAAATGCCAATCAACTACCGCTCATCTAGGCTTTTATATTTTGACTCTCTAGCTTAATGTATAGCTAACCCATCGTTAAAGTAGCATTACTACGTGTAATAATAGTGTCTCATAATAACTATCTTAGTCAAATGGTATTTTTCTAAAAGGTATTTATAACAAGGTATTAGGAATAGTAGAGCAATAACTAATTAAGAAAAGAATGTAGTCTAAAATCTAAAGTATTCCGGGCGCAAATCGAAGTGAAGTTTCTTCTTCTTGTGAGCTCATCTCTGCAATTCTTATAAGAGCATACATTTCGTTAAATTCATTTATGACAACTTGATTAATCTACAATCTGACATGAGTCATCAAACAAAATACTTTTCTCTAATAGTACATCATTATCTTCTACAATCTAAATCATTCTATTTAAGAGGTTACTTCTCTTCTATTAATGTCTTGCCCCTTTCTCCAAAGGGCATCTTAAAAACTACAGTGTTTCTAGCCACATAAATCTTGTACCATAATTAGTCAACTGGCTAGTATTAGTCATCAACAATTTCTAATATAGTAGTTAGCAATCATCTAATATTAGCTTCATGATAATATCTATTCAGAATAACCTAACTATATCAAATATAGCTATTAACTCAATCAAATATAGCTATCCTTATGACCAAATATGGGTGCATCTCGACACCGCGCTATACTTCAAGCCATAAACCTTACAGTTTAATGATAGTAAATTACTGTAGTTCATTTGAAAACTCTCTTTATCCTACATGATATCGAGTTTGTCGACATTGATCATCTTGTAAATTTGGCATTCTAATATCAGCTAATAAAGGGTAAATCGATCGCTTTCGGTACTAATCAGCTGATAACTTGTGCGTATGAAAATTCAAATTGCTCTGTAATACCTACGTGCTAGCAGTAGTAATAAATATGCTAAGATTATCCTACGTTATGTGTTGATTGATTATGTTATTAATTAGATTCG